TTTTTTTTTTGGCATAGCTAAATGCCCTGAAAATTTACAGATGTGTACTTCACATAATACAAAACCCACTAAAAAAGTTTCAAAAAATAATAAAATTGTTTAGACCTCAAACTAAAGTGAAAACAAAAAGTAAAAAGTGAAAAAATACGTAGGCGAGCACGTTTTGACACCGCCATCTTTGGCGATTTTTAATTCTTATTTGGCTTTGCCAAATAACTTGAAAATTTACAGGCATGTACCTCATGTCATAGAGAACTCGCAAAAACAAATTAAAAAAAAAAAATTATTTCTAGGTCCCGAAATTATTTTTGGCGGGGGCCGAACGCCGTCGGGTTCGGACCCCAAACGCATGTACGTACGGAGGTCTGCCCGGGGACCTCCGTACATACGGGCTGGTGACCCTATATATATATATATATATATATATATATCGTTTATAATTCATTATTTTTTTTTTTTAATTGATATTCAACGTTGCTCAAACATTCCATGATGTTTTCCAACAATCTTTTCAACGTTATCACGTATTGAAAATAATGTTGAATCAACATTTGGCGAACAGTTAGTCGAACACTTCCAAATTATTGAAGGAATGATGTCCAAGTGGTTGGTTCATGGGGCTCTCCACCATATATAACGTTTGATGAGTTGAAGCAACGGTCCTTCGTTGTGTGTTTATCGGTCAACGTGAATGATCCTTACAATTAAAAAAAAAAAACTGTGTGTACACGACTTGGGCAACAGTTAAATAAGGCAAAAATGTTAAATATCATAATACATGTAATACAAATTTTTTTCTGTTGTTGGTTGTGTCCCTTGTGTCGTACTGACAATATCCAGACTGAGGCTCGATTCCTCGAAGCCACGTCCGAAGGATTGGAAAAGACACGCAGATTTCGACGTGCCGAAGTGTGGACAGGTGTCGCCCTGATAACTACGGTTGTTGGAAACTCCCTCCAAGAATTCACCTAGGAGGATCGAAGGCGGGCCAACGAGAGGGCAACGGATTACAAATGGGTCGAAGGACGGTTAGAAAAGCGCAAATCGGACAAAAGTGGGATCTGGATGTCAGTACCTCATCCGTTCATGAGGCATGATTGGGTTAAGTCGGCCCACGAGGAAACCGCCGCTCATTTTGCTGTAAGAATTACGGAGTCGGCCATTGACAAGAACGCGTGGTACTGGTCGAATATTAGAGACTATGTTAAATTCATCGTCAAAAATTGCCGCGTATGTGGGGCGGAGAAGACGTCGATTCAACCTCCCCGGTCATCGTGTCGACGATAGTCGAACGACCGTTCCAAAGAGTTACTATGGATACAACGGACATTGTCGTTCCCCCTGGTCCTAATAGTTGTGAATATTCAGTATTTCTCATCTTTATAGATCATTTCTCCAAATAGATCAAGGCGTACCCATGTAAAACGCGACAGACAACGAAAATTGTGCGGTATGTCAACCGTTTCCTCGGAATGCATCAGGATACCGAGGAAATCCTAACGGACAATGGAGCAGAATTTCGAGGGGAAGTCCTGAGGAGTCTGGTCACACATGGCGTCTCCATTCGGAACACCGCCCCTCATATGTCCCAATCGAACAGCCTCGTGGAAAATGTCAATCGGGTGATAAAAACCGCCCTTCGACATAACATCGCTGCTAGAGACACGAGGCCTTGGTCTGACATAGTGGATCACATCCTAGCCATTCATCGGGGGACACCCCACGAATCTACCGGCCTGTCCCCATTCCAATTACGGACCAACGACCTAGCTTGCGTAGCTCTGCCTAGCTTGAACGACGAAATGGCATTGGGACGACGATCTACGAGGGCAACGATTAAGGAAAAGGCCAAGCGTCATCTGAAACTAATGGAAATGACCCTTCTCCTGCTGGCCCGGAAAAGGCAGCGGATGACTGAAATGGCCCACGACCGACAAATCCGAAGCTATGAGGCCCGTAACGGGAATGTTGGGCCCTGGCCCCAGTATAAATTAGGAGACGTAGTGCAGGTAAGGAAATGTGCTCGTCGTGGTAAGTTAGTGCCACGATTCTTCGGGCGATTCCACGTAGTCGAGCTCGGTCTTAATGGGGTGAACACGGTACGGCTTATGCCAGAGGTGTCAGGAAGCGTATCGGCCAGGCCAATCATCCGCCACGTATCTTACCTTTGTCCCCTACCTACCTCTCCATCTCTCTCACCTTCTACCTCGCCTCCCACTTCTGAGTGGGAAAGCGACGATCTCAAGCACTGTGCTTCGCTCCCTCCTCCTTCCTCTCCCCTTTCGCCATGAGCTTTTCTACGGAGCATTTGATCAACGAGCGTTTGATGAGACCCGGGGGCCATATCTCGTTCATTCGGCAAGTGCAGCACCCAAGGTTGAGCCCCGACCTTCTCCGATTTGCAGCCTTCTTCAGTACGGCGGTTATACACGCGGCAATGGAATTTCGATGCATCCGTATCAATGACAGAGTGCGGGTGTTAGCCGAAGCATCGACCTTTTTGCGGTTATCCCCACCTGGTGTCAGCCACGTGTTGGTGGTCATTTCCTTTAGCGAAGATCTCACGACGTTGCACGAAGGAACCCACATGAGTATCTTCCGGCAGTTGCGGCTCTGGGCATGGGATCTTACGACTGCGTGGACTGTACTAGATACAGCTCCTGGCTCAGCCTGGAGATGGGGTTCTCTCCACCAACGAAGTCGACGTTAGCCAACTTCGACTCTCCCCTGCCGAGCTGGAAGTCTTCATCTCGGAGCTCCTCCCTTTCGCACCGCCTCAATGAACCAGCACCGCCTCTCGACTTTCAGACTCCCCTTCGACTTTCCCCTCTTCTGGCAGTCTCCCACCGACGCTCCTCTGTCTTTCCGGATCAAGCAGCTGGACGTGCCGATCCTAGAAGCCGCCAAGTGGGGGGAATGGTGCAACTCTTAAGTGGCGCTTAGCTTCTGTCTTCTCAGGGTGGTATTCCACTGGGCAGAACCAACAGACAAGACCGAACATGACGAGATTCCCAACGACGAGGTGGATCTGCTGGTGATCCAGGCGTGGAGGACGGATATGGAAGCAGAGCTACTGGGGGGTTTATTCAAGAAAGTGGGGAAAGATCACCATGAGCCGATTACGGGCGAAGTGTTAGTGTTCCTGACGCAACTCCTCGACGATCTACCTCTGGACATCCTCTCTCGCTGCGATGAACATCCTACGCTGGCCGCTCTTAGACGTACTTTAGCGCCTCATCTTTTGTGGTCGCCGTGCTCAAAGATCAACAAAGGCAACCGCTATATCCCTCCTCGGGACACTACCTGGTCATCGACGACAGAACTGATCTCAGCCTCTTGGGTCCAATTGCTCGGAAGGAAGAAGCAGGTGAGGAAGAAGAAGAAGAGGAGGAGGAGGAGAGCTCGGGGACGAAATCGGACGACCCTGACTACAACGAGTCCGGGGAAAGTGGATCAGAGGAGCCGGATAGCTCCAGTGAACAAAACAGGGGGGAGGATGAGGCGACCGCGCAGAAAAGACGAAAGAGGGTGGAAGGAAAGCGGTTTGTGGATCAATCGGGCAGATCGGCAACGTGGCTGTCGCAAGGCAATCCCGCACGCAATCCAGAGTCACCGCAGGAGGATCCTAAGAGAGATGGCGTCACCACCGCGAAGGGATCCAGCAGCAGACGCAGAAGACGAAGCCCTTCGCCTCCTCAATCCCCTCCGCCACGGCCCGCCGTTCACATACGTGGAGATAAGGGCGCTCAGGCTTCGTCCCCGGTCATTATCCCGCCGTCCCCTTGACTACCTCACCCTCCATCAACTCGCAAACTGCCCCCCTTTTCCTCTCAGCTGACACCCCTTCCCGCTTTCTCTATTCCATCAACTCTATTCCACCTGCCTCATCGCCACCATCTTCCTGCATGCAACCACCCGCTCTCTTGTAGCCTCCTCTCCCCTCCATATCCTTCTCTTTAGTGTCACATGACGCGACTATAATAATATAGAAGTATATTGTATGATCGTGGGTACTATCCCCGCATGCGAGGATTATGAAGACTTCCGCGTCGCGATCCCCCCGACTACCTGGCCTCGCTTCCCCATCAGGACCATCGCTTCCCCCGCATCCATCGCACCATCCACTACACTCGGCTCCCCACTAGGATCGAGAACTTTGACGCTTTCTGCCACCCCTCCGACAAGCTCACCCCCCTCCTCCTCCTCCCGTCATAAGATTGTCCTTCCCCGGTAACCTGTAGGATCTAGGACAAAACTCGCGCATGTCATCTGGATGACTTCCACACTCAAGCAGGAGCTTGCTCAAGATTGGAACGCCTTGGGCGTCACATATGTGACGAACTGTTTTTTGAAAGCGCGCAATTTTCTGCTCGACGATACTTCGGGGGTTGATTGAGAGGGGGCCGCCCAATTACATGAATGCCCTCATCTTTTGGAAAAAGGGCGGTCCCACAACGGTTGGTAGTTGATCACGTCTTAGCGAGCATAGAAAATAATTGTTGCCATAGCTTCTTTCTTGTTCTGCTGTGAGGAATGGGGAATTTTGGCGCGGTCATCGCACAAGGGAATCTTTTTTTGAATCTTTTTGAATTTTCAACTGAAGTCGAGCCCATGCGGGCTTTCAGAATTTCTTTTTGCAATTAGAATTTAAAGTGGGCTACGAATTTGGGTGCATCGTAATTTTGCCTGCAACTGTACAGTGCTTCTTACTTTCACGCGCTCTACCATGTTAGGGTTTGTGCTCTGGCTTCTCTGCGCCTTAATCTCATGTGTCACTGTAATTTTTTTCTTGGCAAGTGCAAATGTAACTGTAGTCTCTTCATTCTTGATATCTTCATCGCGCCCTTACGCGCACATATTTCCCTCAATCTTATTGGCTTGAACAATGCATGACTGGATCGATGCTTGGAGAGTGGCTACGTCCCCCACGCCACGGCCCGACCATGCAATCGTAGGCACTTCCTTCCTTCTCCTTCTCTCCCACTCAGGCACGATCCCAGCTATTTCGTGTGGGCGCTAATACTATAAATTTTGCAAGCGTGATTAGCTCGCTCTTTAATCAACTTTGGAGTTAGCATGGTCGAGAGGATCGGCTAACAAGTAGGAGCAAGACGATGAGTAGGGAGTTGGGCGGTCCGAGGAGCTGGTGTTGGGCATGCGGTGCTGACGTGTGGCCGCGAAGGACTATGGCACACGGGCGAACCTGGCTTGCATGTTCAGACCAAGCGGGGTGACAACTCTGTGGAAGTAGTAGGTGTGAGGCGACGGACTGCCCGCGTCGGTGTGGAGAGAGAGAGAGAGAGAGAGAGAGAGAGAGAGAGAGAGAGAGGGGGGGGGGGGGRGAGGGAGAGAGAATAACGGGAAGTGTTGAAGTGGTGCTTTGTCTTCGACCTTGTTTCGGGTCTTCCCTTGTTTCTCCTCTGCATGTTAATGGATGATTAAGTATGTCCTCTTCCCGCCCCATCTTTCTTCTACTTGGTTGCCCACCTGATGGATCGATTATCCGCACTCGATCTGTGTATGTTCTCTGGCCAATTGGATGTCTTGATGCACGGATGCTTGTTGCTTTCTTGACTTTTCTACAATGTTGGATATATAGATGAGCATGCTTGATTAGATGCCTGCTTCACACTTAGCCCACCAGCGACGCCTCTGGGTGATCCGACAAGCCGATGCATGTGTGTTAAAAGTTGTGAAGAGTCCTAGGCAGATCGAGAGAATATTGTGTGCACGTACGTGTATGCTTGGCATTGAAGGCCACTGCGTATACGCGCGCGCCTATGAGATTTGCTCTCGATCCGGTTGACGAACGAGCACTTCGGTCGTATGGATTCCTACCCTAACCCCACAGTATGAATGTCGAAATTCCCTTCCGGATCACCGACCGTGAGTGCCTAAGGGATCACCAGTTCTGGGAATACAAGGAACTCACAAGCCTTTCTGCACGATCGAGGACCGAGTTCCTGGAATTTCCGTATCACACGAGAACCGAATGCCTCTTCGAGTGGGATATTAGACGGGCCTTGGAACGTACTCCCCATTACCCCGACTGTCCCAGCCCGTACACATGTCAAATCATCACTGAACTCGACATAGCTATCCTTGAAACATAGTTCCCTCCCTATCACTGTATATTGCCTTTCCACTGCCTGACTATTGCCCCTTGGTGAGTACTCGCCCCCTACCTGCCGCAACTCCAGTGCTCCGAGTGTCTGCAAGACCACGCCTACCGAGCATCGAGATTCGTTCGGCGAACCCGCTCAGAAGCCGAACGACAGGAGTACAGCCTTCGGCTGAGGCCGGCCACGTCCGATTCCAAAACCTGCGAAACCCATCAACGATGGCCGACGCACCAACGGGACAGCCCTAGCGTCCCTACGGTACACCGAATACGGATCCGCTCAAGACGACGGGACCAACGAAGGTGATCGCCCTGTTTCCCGAGGCCTAAAACGGAACCTTGTCCTTCGACCGCCCACTTGCGATTCATATCCCTGAAACTTGACACAAGAGATCTCAGTTTTGACCTGGGACTCCACCCCCATCTTCCTAAAATCCTTCGCACACCCCCTTTTGGCACACTTCCAGGCCCACTCTCACTCTGATCAGGAAGTCACACTGGGCGTGAGGTTGGGCGTCATACCAATGTTGTGCTCTTCGTCGCCTTCATAGCACGCTTGTCATCTTCGTAGGTTGTCGCCGTGTCCGTAACGTCCCCTTTCAGGAAAGACCATCTCGGGAAGATTGTCGTTTTGTATGTCGTCTTGCTGGTCCTTGTGGTCATCGTCCTCTTGCACCTGTCTGGTTTGTTGCCGTGCGAGGACAAACAAGCGGAGGTTGTAGAACACAACATTGTATAGGAAGCCGACAACAATCATGGCAGGTGCGAACAACCATGAGCGGTACACGTACGGCATGGGAGCAGGGCTGATGTTCTGTGATGGGAACAAAGCCCCACCCCGGTTCGACCCCAGTCTTTACGCCCATCTGCCTCCCCATCAGCAGCCCCTACCAGATGACGACACTTGGGCGCCCCCCTCTGCCACGTTGCCATTAGCTTACAGATCCACGCAGTCAATGTCAGAGGGTGTACGGATAGTGATGCAGGGTGCTGCCAGCAAGGGAGTGATAGAATCGCTCCTGTATTCTGACGGTCGACATGGGATGTGCCCGCCGTTGGATCTTCAATTATCCTCCAAGGGCCAGAGAGCAGTCACGCGCATTTTTCTCGTCGATCACTCCAGCCAATCCACCGGTGACCAATCGGTCGCTGTGTAGGGAGGTCGCGGCAGTTGCA